GCTACTTTTTTTGTTTAATCCAAAATCTATTTTACTGTATATTATGTCTCTCATTTTACTTCCCTTATCTCTTTTCCTGGCCTTCCTCTTGCTATAACTCCCATCTTCTGGCTCCATCATTTCACAGAGTATTGTTTTTGTCTTCACAGACAAAGCTGATTTTAAGCAGATAGAATGATAGATTATATATACATATATACATATACAGACATATATTATATACATATATGATAGACCATGCTGAATATTCCAATAAAACTAAGAAATTGAGGGGGAAAAACCTGTAGTTATCTCTAGTCTTATAAATATCTTCTAGATCAGTGGTTTTTAAACATTTCTTTTTAAACCACAGAAATCCTTCTTCCTCTTCTTGCCTGTGTAAAACATTTAAGATAGGAGCTACTTGGTTGAAGTGGAGCAAGCAGCTCAGAGCCTAGGTTCTCTCTCTCTCTCTCTCTCTCTCTCTCTCTCTCTCTCTCTCTCTCTCTCTCTCTCTCCAGGATGCACTAAGACCCCTGGAGAACACTCAGTGTCCATTCAGGCAGAACAAAGAAACAGGCAAGTTGTTCAGTAAAATATATCAATATATCCTGAACTTTCCCAAGCCTAAAGCTTCATTATTGTCTCCAATTTCTGTCCCAGCTTAAGTTTCCCTAGACTTTGGAATTCAGCAAGCTAAATCAGATGGCCTTGTGAACCTCTGTTGCATATGCCTGCTATCCGCCCACCATTCTGCCTCTGAGATTACAAACTGTGCCTATCTCCAGCACATGCGTATTTCTGGCCTGGCAGCCCTGAAGCTATCTTTTCCTAACTCTTTCTTGCCAGATGTTTATGTGAGAAAAAAAGTTTAAACATTGCTAATTTGAGAAAGCAATTGCAGTACTACCTGTGGGTACTGCTAAAGTCATAAGAAAAATCTGAGCACCATCTGACCTTTAGTCTATGTGTCCTATTTTTTTTTTTTTTTTTGTCATTGGCCATATATTTTTCCTTACTAGGCAAATTAATCAGATGTTAATTCAAAATTAATTCTTATACCATAGAATTATAAAGTTTAGGGTATACTGTAAAGAGAAGCTTTGAGATCATGAGTCCAACACACCTTCATGTATAAATGACAATGCTTGGAGAGGATGAAGTAATGGGCCCCAAGTTACATAGCCAATAGAATCAAACTGCTGGGCTAAGGAAAAAGTTCACTACATTTTGTAATACAATGTACCACCTGGAATTGGCTCCTGATATATGGAGGTTTTAAATAGTTACAAATGTTATTATGGACCATAAAATAACCTTAATTTTGATGACATGGAGAACAAAATATGTTTCCCCCTAAATGGATACCAAGCCACAGAAGTGAATGTCATTTTCTTTCCATATGTTCATTAAATAACAGGTACTTAGGAAATGCCTGTCAAGTGTGAGATGCTCTCTTGGACACTTTAGGGACTAAAAAATGGGTAACACCTTGTTTTGTCATCAAAGGATAGACAGTCCAATGAAGAAAATACTACTCTCTAAGTACTATTGAAATCAAACTCAAATATGCTATAATAGAATCATATGTAAATTTCTACCGACATCTAGCAGAATACTTGATTAATTTTTACTTGATAATAAGGGTAACGTTACAGAAAGCTTCACAGAGGAGGCAATGTTTAAGCAAGACCTCCTAAGGATGAATTTTGATGGGAGAAGAGGTGGAAACAGTGTTTCTGGAAGAGGAAATGGCATGAGCAAAATACGGACATGCACTAGAAAAATGTATCTTGGTTCTCAAGAGGAGAAGTCAGTTCTTGAAAATACCTCCAGAAATAAGGGCAAAAGCATTACAAACATGGAAAATTATATTAGCAAAGATATGGTTGTGCTTTGTGTGGTGCATGTTCAGAGAATGGCTAGCAATTTAATGTTTAGAAATACCCATGTGTCTATTCACATTTATTAGGGTACTTACAGCAGAGTTGTGACAGATCCCAGTTGGCCTTGAATGCTAGAATAAGACACTTGGACTCTCCTTAAGAAGGAGCCACTACAGGTTTTTTGCAGACTTACGTGCCTTTTAGGAAAATTAATGTAGTAGCAAGATAGAAGCTGAGCAAAGATGGGAGGCCAAGTGGAAGGTTATTGCATTAGCTTTTGCAAGTGCTAACGAGAACCTAAACAGGGTAGTGATGGTAAGAACTGAAATAAAGGAACAGATGGGAGAATTGCTTTGGAAGAAATTATTGTGCAGCACAGTTACCATTCTGCATATCATTAAATATGTGTCAAGTTAATTTTGCAACTTCATTTGGCTCTAATAATTTCCTCTCTTCAGGTATGCAGAGCCTTCATAATTTATTGGTCATCTGTTCACATATTTTTAATTAAGACTTATAATTTCCATGAGGGAGTCTATGACTGTTTTGTTCCCTACTATTTCCACGACATTCATCAGAACAGGCACTGATTAAATATTCATTGAATGAGTGGATGGGTGAATACTGCCCTGCACACATCCACATGCCCACTCCCAGGGCCTCTTCACCTTTGCACTCTACCCTGCTCCTTCTCTCATCCTCCAGCAGGCATTTTCCTCCCTTTCACTCTTTGAAGTTGTTCTTGCCTTTATGAGTAACCAGATTACTGCACAGTCTGTGTCCAGTGAGACACTGATGCAGGAGTGTTTGTTTGTTTGTTTGTTTGTTTGTTTTTGCAATCACTGCCTTTGACCAAGCTCATTTGACTTTCTTTTTGCTGTTTCTTTATATGATCTCAGTCATATCCAATGACTTTCTTGTCACGTAAAATATTGAAAAACGCAGTGCTAATCTATTTTAAGCCTCTAGTTTTATTTCCTTTGCTCCCCACTCCCAAGTTTAGCCTTCTCTCAAGGGACCAGCTTCTTTTTCCTGATTCTAAATTCCCTAGTGGAACAAGAAGGATGGGTTGGGGAAAAGGAAAACATTTTTATACTTAATTAGGTTCACTTTGAAATTGTCTAATGTGTTTTGTTCCCTACTATTTCCACAACATTCATCAGAACAGGCACTGATTAAGTTTATTCATTGAATGAGTGGATGGGTGAATTCTGCCCTGCACACATCCACATGCCCACTCCCAGCTAACACTGACCATCCATATCTTTTTAACAGGAAACCACTGATCTCTTGGGGGAAAGCCCATGGGGATCCCATTTTACAGTTTTCTGGAAGGAACAACGGACTCTTCCTAAGGGGTTCCCAAGACTCTCTAAGCTTGTCCCCAGTATCCACTACTGGTGGTCAGCTTCTTGGGTGGGCTAATAGCAAAACTTTCCTGCCAGGCTCTCAGTTCAACTCCACTGTTCCTTTCTATCTTTCTTCTTTTCCTACTTCCACTTATTTCTTTATGTCAATTTTAAGAGTCAGAGCAGTTCCTGGTGCTTGGGTGACATTTAAGTTAGTAGAGCTAGTTTATCACTTCTTAACAAGTCCTGGAGAATGTACATGGCCCCAGTGTTTCTAATTAACATGAAGGTACTTAATGTATTTGAACTCTCATTTTGAGTCCTGGACTCCAAATTGTATACACATGTATAACTTTCAGTTTTTGTGAATGTCACTAAACTTCATTTTTCAAACCCTGAGTTGCCATTTACATTTGTAGATACTGTGTAGTGAATATAGAGTGAGCCTCACACAAATATTTAATGACTAGCTGAAATAGGTCTGGTGTTCCAATGTAAAAGTGAAATACAAAAGTCTATGCAGTTTGAATTCTAGGGCAAATAATGAATTGCACTGTAACTTTAAAATAGAGAGCGTTTAAACCTTGAAATGTAAATTAGATTGGGGAATGGAACAACAGAAAAGAGGAAAGGAGAAAAAGTAACTAGAAAATGAAAAAGTAAGAAGAATCTCAAAAATGAGAATTCTGCATAGTGACAGAAAGCTCACCATGCTTAAGATTGAAATCTGAATCGCTGACATCAGACTAATCTTTTCTCTGCTCACAAATCAGAATCACATAGATTTCCATTAATACTTATCTCCTTAAATTTGGAGGAAGAGAAAAGTCTATGATGTATTTTGCCCATTTTCACTGTTCCCACCAGGTATTTCACTGAAGGCTGACATCAGGTTAATAAGCTGGCAGCTATCCTTAAAAATCCAAGACCAACAGAATGGCATGCAAAGAGTTTTAGCAGTGAGTCACTTCAAAAACCAGGAACCACAAATTCAACTAAAATTTCAAATAAAGGCTAAAGGACTAGAATAATCCATACAAAATTTTAAACCCAGAAGTTCCTTTTGCTTAAGTTATTTTCATATTCCAATTTAAACTCAGAAACATTATGTTGCTGTCACACTTCTTTGTTCTCCTAAAGTATTAAAAAAAAATCCGTATATAGCTGACAAAAAATAGGAGCCTGTCTGCCAGCAAGTTATCTATTCATGTCTAACATACTGTAGAGTCAACGCAGAACACATGGTCTTAAAACACTCAAAAGCCTCTTTTTAACTGGCTTACCACAGCAGTATGTTTCTGCAGCATGTTTGCACTACCTACAATACATGTCTTGCATAAGTATGAATTCCTTTTGAATGTCTCAAGTCATGCAGTATTTTCACATGCTTTGATGTTGTGCATATGAAAATTATCATCTATATTTTGGAAATGCAGTTCCATGTGCCTTCAGCCTTGAATACCGCTCAACTGACACCATTTTTAATTTCAGCCAACAAAATGACAATAATTTCTATAACAGAAGTTTGACATATTTCATTCTCTCAAATACAGAGTTAATTTAGCCGCTAAATTGGAAATTTCTGGGTGTAGTTTTGAAAACTAATTCAGCGTGAAAATTACTAATGATTTAGAATTGTGCATGAAGAATTTTCATTTTCCTTATTTCCTTATCCAGAAACATCTGATACTTCAGAGATAAATTTGCAAGTGGCAAGATGTGTTCTGTTGTTGAAACATAAGGCAAACAGTTTAAATCAGTCCTAATGTGATTTTCTTAATTACAGATGAGACCCATTGGTCATGATGGTTACCATCCCACCTCTGTAGCCGAGTGGCTGGATTCCATTGAACTGGGTGACTACACCAAAGCCTTTCTAATTAATGGCTACACATCGATGGACCTTTTGAAAAAAATCTGGGAAGTTGAACTTATTAACGTAAGTTGGTCTTTTACTGAGCCCTTAGTCAGTCAAACCTTGATAAATAAGATATTATTGCAGGCAGGCAAGTATTTTTCTTTCTTTATAATGGTTTGAATCCAACAAGGATTTACAGGTAGGCCATATGTTTTGAATTTTTGATGTAGGGAAGGAACTAAGACATAAAAAGAGGACTCTCAGGGTGTTTTGCATTATCTGACAAGACCTTCCAAGCATTTGAGGTTTTCCACTTTAGGAAATTTTGACAGTTTAAGATATGAATATGATAGCAAATGGTCTCCCATTCTGATCTTTGCTCATATTCACTGTTAAAGGTTTAAATTCTCATATTTTCTATGTTATATTTCCTTATCTTTATTCCTTAATTTCACATACAGATCTCATGCTTGAAGAAGACTGCTTTTGCTCTTACTACTTAGGCTGCTGTAATATAAACTTTTTATTTTCTAGAGTTGATGTTCAATCAAATGTTGACTCTGTTTTATTCATACATTTGACATAGATTTCCTATAAAAACGGGCCAACAATATATGTCACCATATATTCCAGCCCAACGAGATAATAAATCTGCATAAATGATTTTGATACCCTTCTTGTTTCATTTTTACTTCTATTCTTTCCTAGAGAATAAATGAAAGAACAAGATGAAAATATAAACAATCATTTGTCTGAATCATATTTGGCATTATAAATGTTTCTTTTTTCCCAAAGTGACTGAGAGAAATCACTTAATTATTTAGAGATTTTTAAAGTTTCATAATGATTGGGTAAAAGGTGTCTGTAAACTGAGAGATAAGATAAAGAATATCTGCTGGTTGCAAAGTGCTCTGTTCTACTCTTTATGCCACTTTCTCTCTAAAAGTACAGTTTTTTTACAAATTACATGTTATTAATTAAGCTATCATTTAAGATAGATATTATTGTTAACTAATAATTCTTTGCTTTTAAGTCTATCTTAAAAATATCTTTTCTATAATACCCTATAGAAATTGTTCTTGAATTTTAAAATCATATTAAGTTGACAAACTCTTGGTTTCAAATTTAACATAAGCAACTCTTTCTTGACCTTTTGCTGCTTTTCCCTTCATAAAAGCTATCTTTATCAAAAGAAAACTCACAGTCTGACTAAAGCCTCTGATTAATTTCATTCTTAGTCTGTGTAGCAATGGAAATGAATCTACATGCTTTGGTTTTTGTTAAGCTAAGCTTTTTAGTTGTGTCAAGCTAAGATTTCAATTCTCTACTAAGAAATTGTCACTGATATCATAGCTACTAGTCATTTATTAAAGGGGGTATCTTCCATAGATCACAACAGGTTTCCAAGTTGAGTGGTAACCCAAATATCCCTATAATATCCTCTGAATAAAACTTCTCTCCACTAAAGAGTAAATATTCAGGAGAGGTAGCTTGTGAGTCATGTATTAGCAGTTAATCCCCACTGAGAAGAATGGCTTCCAGTAGGACTCTAGAATAACATGTTTTTATTGAAGCAAGGATCATTTACAACATGAGGCTATATATCTCTCAAAAATCCAAATACTTGGTCTAGTGTTGAAGATGGGGACTTGTATGCTCACTTCCCCCAAGGCTAAAGTTACCAGTGGCCGAGAGATCTCTGCACACAGGACTTGTGCAGTGACTGCAGGACAGTGATGCTACAAAAACCCTAGGTTTACTGCCAGGTCTTGGGGGCTGATCCCAAACACCTTGAATGCAGAGAGAATTTGAGAGAAGGCAAATTTCAAGGGTTTTCCCTTCAACTAAATTTGTTGCACTACAATCTGACTTGGATCTAGGACGAAGTGCCTGCTATAATTGTTGTATCAGAATTTGAAAGCATAGTTACTGTGTTTAGACCTTGAAGCCACACCCTTCTGACTTGAAGTACACTACTGCGTCTACTACCAACCAAGAACATTTTCCTTAGACTAAATGGATTGAATTTAAATTCCTTGTGACATCCATATGGGCAGGTTCACACTCTTAATGGGGAGACTTTGCAAGTCATTTAACTCAGTAGATAAACTTATTGTGGACAAAAACTTATCTGAACCTTTAGACATAGAAATTAGAAAACCAAATTTTTATACCCACTAGAGTTGGGATGCTTTGGGATTGTTGGGATTCTCTTGTTTTAAATGAGAGAGGTGATGTATCTCCTTCTTGACTTAAAAAGTTTTTGACTGACCTCAAATTTAGTCCTCAAACTCATCAGTTTATCCCAACTCATGAGGGAAGGCAAATTCAAGACTTTAATTGATCACAACTAATGAGGAAATGCACCCAAATATGATATAATCTCTTATATATTATTTGGACATAACATCCAATACTAAGAACCCATCATTTATTGATTTGTAGGCTAAAGGAAAGGTATCGTCATCTTGATTTTGATTGAAGTCTTTTAGGGAAGTTTACATCTTGAATCAATTCAGACAGTGGCTAGTTTTAAGGAAGCCAAATTTCTCCAAGAATTATCCTTTGTAAAGTTAAATAGAGTTCAAGTATAGGCTGTCTCTGATACAGAGATCAGCTGGTGGAGGGAAGAGAACAGAGATTAAGGAGACAGACTGCTGGTATGATTATAAATAACTTCAGCATCATTATACAGTATTGCATCTAGTGTGGCAAGGTATTATGGTTATTATTAGAAAAATTAAATATGCTATCATCAGTATAATGAATTTAAAGTGTTTCAAAGAGGTAATAAAAACTATACAAAGTTGTTCTTGAAAAGCATAAATATATATTTGAAACTATAATATTTCAAAAAACTCCCCCAAATATTTCTTGGGAGATATTATTGCCTTTGAAAACCAAGGTTATCTGAATAAACTAATAAGGGTTTTAGGTGCAAAGCTACGCAAAGTATGGGATGAGAAAGAAAAGTGGAAAAATCTTACCATTAGCAATCTTAGCCTAGAGAAATTAAACACAGAGAAAGTCTTAAGACATGAAGCATTGCCAATTTTACAGGTCTAGGTTTACCTCAAATTAAAGCATAAAATATAGGTCAGTAATTGTTCCCTTTATTCCTAATCTGTGCTTCATATTCCAAAGATGATGTTTTATCAATAGTTCTGTTTTTCTCCTGTGACTGCCACTATCATTAATAATATCATGCTCTCAATTTTATAATGATATTTTAGTGTTAAAATATGAATACATGGGAGAAATTGTCAGGAAAATTGTTCCCTGTGCAGATGCCAGCTGGTTCAACCTCCAGTTTGAATTATTGTCCCTCCAACGGCTTGTTAAGAGAACTAATGACTAGTTAAGAGTGCACAAGTACATTCATTTTTTTTTTCCAACTCAGAAGTTACTCAGGGCTGGCATATGGTATTGGTAAGATCTCACAACAGTTCCAACTGCTATTGAAAACCACAACAGCCCTACATGGGAAAAAAATTAGAAAGAAGATAGACATATTTCCTCCATGAAATGTGTATGGATTAATTATGAAATTAAAAATAACTAATGACCATGCAAATAACCTGTTATCCATTTTCTAGACAAAAATGTATTGATATTATGAGAAACAATGTTAATTTCTCTTACTACTGTGTATCAGCTAAGGGGGCTTGGAAAAGACTAAATAAATTTGAACACTGTCCAATTTATTAACTTGTGAATCTCAGTGCAGAACATATGATTAATTTGTTCCTAGGGGCTTTATCACTGTTTACCAAGGAAATCATCCTAGCCCAGGCTTATTATATCCTACAACATTGAAAATGATGAAAGTACCTGTTGAATTGACAAAATTGAATTCAGGTGTCAGTGCATTCTTAAATCCCTGTTCATAAGTATAGAATAGCTTTAAAAAGTTAATGACAGTGATTGTTTCTTTAAAAAAACCCTTTGAATACAAACAAATAAAATAGCTAAATACATGTGTCCTATGTAAGTTATTTCACACGTCCCATGGAAATAAGTGAGAATAATTTGTCAACAATAAAAATTTATTGGCGATCATTTGCTTCTGGCCTAATAGATACAGAAATTATTCTTGCATTCATTAGGACTGTGAGATTTCTTTTCTTTTCTTATCAATGTTATTGATTTAATTTTACCTTTCAAGAGAAATTTTATGATAATCTAACCACTTAGAGATTTGCTAAGACATTTTCAAAGGAAACTTGATGGTTTTGCATTAATTCTTTGATAATGTGTCTCTATTTGCTTTAAATGATGTAGTGATATCATTCTATGAATATCAGATTTGGATTCATTACTTGCTTTGATGTTTTTACTTCGTGATCAGATTTATAAGCTCCTACCCCTAACTATGCTATCCTCATTGCTCTAACTTCATTGTTCTCTGTAAAACTCGTGAGTGTGTGTGTGTGTGTGTGTGTGTGTGTGTGTGTGTGTGATGTATAAAGGCAAAGGGTAATTTATGCTTATAACCAAGAAAAATAATCAGTAAATTCACAAATTGTAGAGGAGGATGAATGTTCTAATTCCATTTCCAAACCAATTATTTTAAGTAAAAGGTTATGTCTTCACTACAGGACATTAATAAATGAGAAAATATTCATCTTTCCACACCAGGGAGGCTACATCAGTCAACACTTCAAATATTAACAACTTTAATCAAAGCTGAAGGCTTTCAACAAATGACCTGAAGAGCATATTCAAGAGTACAGCAAACTTTTTAAATTATCTGTGGATTTAAACATTTCATTTGTACTCATATATATTACAGCTGGCTCCTCATAAACCTTCAGGCCAGCTAGTTAACAGAAGCTCAGCTTTAAACTTTTTCAGGCACGCATCAGGTTAGGCTCCTGGATTCCACCACCCTCACTTCATGAATGCATGCTGCAAGTCTTTCACAGATTCCTCTGAAGCTTCTGTCACTTGGCTCAAGTTTGGAAAAAGTGGCCTTATTCCTTCTCATATGAGGTGAACAAGCTTATCCTAAGTAAATATCTGTATTCACTTTCTATGGAAAAATTACAGTTATGTTCTGATTTTCCAGAAATTTCTACCTT